CCCCCACCCCACACTCCCCTGCCAAGGCCTCTGGTCTCACCCCACCAGGTCTCTTGAACTTAGAATCATTATACCGAGGTAGTAAAAAGAATCAGTTCTATGGCACTATAATTGCAGAAGGATGGATGTGAACTACAATGTGGGTTTTGGGAACTGCGCCAGGGTCCCCTCCAGAGGACCTGGGTTCAATTCTCAGCACCCACATGGCAGCTCACAACTGTCTGTAACTCCAGTTTTGGGGGATCTGATACCTTCATGCCAATGCACATAAAATAAAGTTAAATAAATTATTTTTTTTTAAAAAAAGAGCAACAAGTGCTCTTAACTGCTGAGCCGTCTCTCCAGCCCCACAAACACATTGATTTTTATGACAAACAACTAGCTTTTCGATATTGATGTTGAAATCTTGGTGTGTAGGGAGGGTAGCTGTTTGTTACCTTCATTATCAATATCACAAGGCATTGTTCAGAAGGTATGCACAGAGAGAGTCACACAAGATGATAAGTTATTATAAAATACAAGGTGGAAAATTGGGTGGGGGTAATAGCTCAGTGCTAACACACTTGTCTAGCGTGGGCAAGGTCCTGGCTTTGATCCATAGTACACACACACACACACACACACACACACACACACACACTCATGCATCATGCATGATTCCATAGCTTTGGGTCTCACTGCTCTATCTCTTTTTTCCACCTTGCTGAGGTTGAGCATATCCTGGTTCTCCCCCAAATCCAGCAATCAAAAGGGTTAATGCCCAGCAGGAACTGAGCAGATGTGCTTCAGGCCCTTCCCATCCTGGTTGAATAGCACCAAGCCACAAAGGGGTTAAGTATACTGAATGTCGTCCCACAGCGTTGGGGTGTTGAAGCTGCCCCTTACTGGCACACATCAATCAGCTGTGTTTTGTTTTGCTTACATCTCCACCAATACTGCTCAAACTTGAGCCTGCAACAGAACCCCTGGAGGACGTGTTAAAGCATGCACTGCTCGGCCTCACCCTCAGAGCTTCTGAGTCAGGAAATCCAGGGTGGGGTCTGGGAAGGAGCGCCGTTCCCAGGCCACGAGGATGGAGCTCCTTCACGGATCTACAGAGAGCCTCAGATAGAAACAGAGCTTTAGAATCAGACTTTTAAGATAGTAGCACGCGCACGAGTAACATGCGGTCTCAGGATGCAGGCTCTTTCTTGTTCCATGGATCTGATGGAGAGTCTGGAGCCCTACAGTTCTACCAGGCTCCCCAGGTGAGGTCAATGAGGCCTTCACCTTGAATCAAGGTCTATGTGGGACTTGAATAGCAAGGGCTGGGGCACCAAAGAGAATTCACTGTTCATCTCCACGCAATGAAAGTCCCGCTTGGAAGTCTGTTTCTCCCTGTCTACAATTCCCTCCTGACTCTCTTTCTTTCACTGACTATATTCTAACTCTGTCTTCTTCTGTTCTTCTTCTCCCTCGCTTCCTTTTCCCTTTCATCTCTCTACTTATTTCCTTCCCACTCTCGCTCTCTGGTTTTCCTGCCGTCTTTGGAAGTTTTTAAAATCCCGGCCTTCTCTCAGGACTGCGTTTCTGTTTGAATTCCTTAAGTAGCAAACAAAACGAAGGAGACCAAAAAATACAGCTCTGCTTGTTCCTAAGGAAACTCTCTTCAGACTGTCGCTGACTTTGACATTTCCAGTGACGATATCAGGAATGAGTCTCGGTGTAGGAAAAGGCATGTGAGTACACGTTAGAGGAACAATGCAGGTAGCCAGGGCCAAAGAGAATGCCCAGACTTCTCTCATTCAAGAACGTCCTTCACTTGGACCACTTTTTCTGGGGCTAGGAATTTCTCCTGTTTATGAACTAATGTAGCGAACATTTTTTTTAAAGATACGAGTATTGTAAACCTGACTCTTTGCTAGTTTTTAATGCCTGCCTAAATCCTGAGAACAAACAGGCTGCCGTACGCCTTCATCTGTACTCTCCTTGCCCTAGGGCTGGACAAGCTGCTTGGCAGCAAATTCTGTGGAAATCTACAAGTCTTAGCACTGGAGGACAGAAGTATGGCCCAGCCTCACGGCACTCCAGAAACCAGAAGATGAGGCAGACGCCCGTCACTAATTAGCCGTGTCTGAAAGTTACCTCTGAACTATCCCCTTTAGCCTTGTCTCTCTGTGTGACATGATTCTAAACCAATTCTAGCAGCAGAAGGCTTCAAACTCCGCTGCCCTTCTCCTTACAGTGAGTAGACGAAACTATCCAGGAACTTGAGAGGTAAACCCTTGTCTAGACGTCAGCTCTCCCTGTCAAAGCAGTTGTGACTGAATGCAGGCACAAGTTTGCACCCCCAGAAGGCGTTTATGGTTAAGACCACTCAGGGATGCTAACGACACCAGTAGGTAGAGTCCAACATCCCCGTGCTATTGAATATCCTACTACGCAGACAAGGTCCCCCACCCTCTGTGATAGTGAAAACTATGGTCCAAGGCATTAGTAGGGCTTTAACTGGAAAGTCTTGTTCAGAGGATGCCCAATCTGCGCTAAGCCCGTCTTCCCTTCTTGAATGAAAACTGAGAGAAGTAAGGGAGAATTCATGAAGATAAGACCTTCAATCTGTGCATCGGAACACTGGAATGAGTTCCTAAAGCCCAGTTGAAGAGTGGAAGGGATGAGAATATGAGCAAAGAGGTCAAGACCATGATGGGGGACGCCCACTGGAACAGTCTACCTGAGCTAATGGGAGCTCAACAACACCAGCCGTACTGGGAAGGAACAAGCATAGGAATCAATATAAAAAATAAAAAAATGAAAGACCTTCAATCTGTAATCATGACGTTTGTATTTTGGGGGTTTGCTTGTGTTTGTTTTATTTCATGCTGCAGTTTGCCAGACCCTGGTTGGGGTGACAGAAGAATCAAAGGTGGAAAGCTACCATGTTCTAATGCCAGCCGGGTCTAAATGAGCAAAAGAAGCAAATACTTCAGGGGCAAAAAACGGGAGACGTCAGAGATACTCTGCCTCTTGTTTGTTAAAGAAGAAGTCAGCAGCACACCCACTGCCAAAAACAGCATCTTGCTGTTGACCACTCCTGATTCAGCCTTCCCAGACAAGGAAGACCAAGGTCAAGTTAGCACAGGAACATTGTTCCTCTTCAGGTGGGGCCGCTTGTCCCTCTACCATCAACACAGGACCTAGGGTATGAAAAACCCAAACGAAGATATTCCTCACTTTTATTATAGAAATAGCTATTTCTCATATTTTCTGGTGTCTTTGTTGCTCTGAGAAGTTGAGAAACAGAAGCCATGGCCAGGTTTATTTGTTTTGTTTCAATTCTGAAAAATCTTAGCTTGGTGGCTTTTCTTTTTGTACAGCTTGCAAGCAAAGAATTTTTAAATTTTTTTGTACAGTTTTTAAAAGTTGTAAACACAAAGATGGTGCCACCACACAGCGGTCTGTGGCCTGAAAAGCCTAAAATATTACCTGCCCCTTCCTAAAAAGTTTGCCAATCTCTGACTGTGTGAAAGTGAAGTCTCTTTATATTTTGCATGGCTTCGAACAAAACAGACACGTTCTGGAATCTGTGAGTCATAAAATGAATCGACAGGAAGCTCACTAGAGGATTAAGGTGTCAGTCCTTTTCTAAACAGCACAGGGTTTGTTTTGGGGGATTCTGTGGTTATTTGTGGGTTTAACAATATGTACCTCAATCCCACTTATTTCCCGTCACTTTGTATCTACCCTCTGCCCTTGCAACCTCCCTCTACAAAATGAAAAAAAAAAGAAAAAAAAAGACAAAAATGAACAAACAGAAGTCTCACCGTGGAAGCTGAAGTGTGTCACAGTGAATCATACAGTGCACCTTGTAGTTTAGATGTCTGTACTGGCAAATGTTCATTGCAATGAGTCATGGGTCTGTTTCGAGGCCTCTGGCTTCTGCGACACTGTCAATACTGGATCCTCCCTGAACCTGCTCTTGGAAATCCTGCTCTTGCCCTGTGTCGTGGAGATCCTGCAACATTGGATCTGCAGGGCGGGCGCTCCAGCAGTTCATAGTTGGGGTGGATGTTGAGGTGGACCAACTCATAACTCTGGATCTGGACCTGGGTGGTAGCTGAACTGGTCAGCCTGCCAGCTCTCCTGCATCCTCGACGCCAAGGCAAGCTCTCCATCACTGCTCTGGCCAGCTGACCCATTGCTGCAGGCAGCAAGGGGGCAGTGTCAGTTCTCCCACTCGCATGCCCTCAAGGCCAGCTCGCCCTCACTGACACCACCAGGGCCAGCTCTACTGTGCCGCTCAGTTGAGGTGCAGAGTCCGCTCTCCCAAGCGCAGCAGCTGGTGAAGGGCAGGGCCAGCTCTCCTGCTCTCATGCCCCTAGATCAGTTCTCCTGCCTGCTGCAGGTGGCGAAGGTGAAGAGGGAGAGGGCATCTATCCCTCAACCACGCCACCCACTGAATGGCAGGCAAGGGACAGCACAGTTTCTTTCAATTCCTAAATGAAATCAGCTGTGAGTTTCTGATGTGTTCTGCTTAGGTAGATATTGTCTGAGGCATATTTGTTTGTTTCCCCGGCCACTCAGACTGGAAATAACCACACAGAAACCATATTAATTAAATCACTGCTTGGCCTATTAGCTCTAGCTTCTTATTGGCTACATTCTAAACTAAGCCATCTCCATTCATCTGTGCATCACCAGGAGGTCGTGGCCGGGCTCCAGCAGAGGCTACATGGCTTCTCATTCAGTCTGCCTACTCTCTCCTCCTCTATCTGCTAGGAACTCCCGCCTTGCCCTATCCTGCTAAGCCACTGGCTGAAACAGTTTTATTCATTAACCAATAAAAGCAAACCATAGACAGAAGGACCTCCCACACCAGGTAATGATCCGAGAAGCAAGAAATGTGAAGAAATCAATGACAAAAGGGGAAGATCAAGATGCGGGAAACAGATGGCTTCTGCATCCAAGGTCCTTGGTTTTCTGATTCTTGACTGGCCAGCTAGTTGCCTAGCCACAGCCTAACGGTGAAACTAGGTTCAAAGTCTGCCGAAGTTCCAGGTTCTGAGATGACCTCCTCAATGATGTCATAGAAAAGTTGCCTGTATGTTCCATCCAGAATGCCATAATTAGTGGGAGAGCTACAGTGATCCACCTGAGCCAACAGGAGAGGGTCAGCAGTGAGTCCCAGATGTTAATCATGGTGCAGGTGATTAACAACATGGCAAGTATTGGTTGGCTTCATGAAATCTTTCAAAAGACGCTTCCAAAGCAATGTTCAGTGAGACTTGGGAAATACTCGAAATTATTGCCTCTACCCAGGCTCCCTCTGTTGCTCTATGCCCAGGGAGATCTTTCCACTCTTTGGGGTTTTTTATGTCTTTTGTTTTGGGGTCTCACTCAAAGAAGAGTCCATGTGACTCTGGCTGACTTGGAACTCACTATGTAATGACAAAAGCATGTGAGAAGCCAGGGTGGTGGTGCAGGTTGGTACTTCAGCTTACTCGGGAGACAATGGCAGGAGAATTGCAAGTTAGAGGCTAGCCTAGGATATATAATGAATGCAAGGTCCAGCCTACGCAAGATAGTGAAATTCTGTCTCAAAATAGAAAGTAACAAGAGGGCTAAAGACAGATCTCGTCTAGCTTGTGCTGTGCCCTGGATTTAATCTCTAAGACCACAGGACATAGAGATACAATTGAAGAAACAGAGGCCTGTCTTGGCTGCGTGAGACTCAGCCACCCATCCTGCAGAAATACAGGTCTGGGAAGTGGGAGCATCTTCTTTGAATCATCAGCCTCATCTGTCTGAAACTAAACCGAATGGGAGCTTAATTAGCAAGTTCCCTTGCTGAAGGGCAAGCATGCCATCACTGTGGAATTAAGTCCACTCCTAATAGGGCTAGCCCTGCTCGTCTTAATCCAGTTATGAACTAGCCTGATTAACACCTAGTCCAGGGAGCTTAAGGTGATGCCGTTAACCACAGTGAACAGAGCTCAGTTTACCACTGGGAGACACCAGTAATGGTTGAAGGACAGGCCGCCTAAACAGACAATCCCAGCCACACCACCACCCACGGGCTGGCCATGAGAAGCTAGTGGATATCTGTGCCTTTGTCTGTGAAATCACTAGGATGAGAATATATACTGAATACAGCGCACATAAAGATTACAGTTCAGGGGACTGGAGAGATGGCTCAGTGGTTAAGAGCATTGCCTGCTCTTTCAAAGGTCCTGAGTTCAATTCCCGGCAACCACATGGTGGCTCACAACCATCTGTAATGAAGTCTGGTGCCCTCTTCATACAGACATACACACAGACAGAATATTGTATACATAATAAATGAATAAATAAATATTTAAAAAAAGATTACAATTCAGAACAGCAGAGTGGATGAGCTAACCTCAATTCCAGTGACTAGTGAGAAAATCAACAGGGAAGAGCACTCCCTGTAGCTGGCATCCTCTCACCCAGCGGGCATCCCACAAGGGCTCACCATCTGCAAGCTGGGGAAGGACAGGGTTAAACTAGAAGTGACTCTGGTAGGGAAAAGCAGGCCCCAAACAATTAGTTTATGGCAGTCACAAGCAAATATAAATACAGTGATCTGAGGTCCCAGGATGGAAGACTCTAAGTGATAGCAAGAATTTTGGAAATTTTACTTAGGAAGTTTAGGGAAAAAAAAAAGTCAAATCATTAAATGAGTGGTGTTTATTGATACTTTAAGAGCAATCATGCCCATAAAGCAAGAGATTTCACTATTTATGCGTTTCACCTGCCCTGAGAATTTCTGAATACAGAAACCCCGCTCATACGGGTCTTCTGCTTTCGCGTTAAGACTTTCATTCCTCCCTGGCTGGCCTGCTTCTACCCAAAGGCAGCCGCCACTACTGTGCCATTTGTAAGCAGACTTCTAATTTATTTACGAATGTATCGCCACTGTGGGTACTCACAAAGAAAGCTATGGCTGGCCTCAGAATCACTAAGCAAAGGCTGGACCAGTGGGAGGACGAACAGGTAGGGCGCCTGGTAGAGTTCCCCTGTTCTGGTACCCTTTGCAAGCCGCTCATTGTCTTTCTCATAAGGACTTTGGGAAAGCCCGTGACCATGCACGCTTCCCCATGTGTTCTCATTTTAGGATGAATTCAAAGAGTTATTACGAGCTGCTGGGAGAAGGCTTGTGGTGGTGGAGTTCTCAGCAAGGTGGTGTGGCCCCTGCAAAAGGGTTGGCCCCATTTTCCAGGTAAGTATTTCCAAGCGTCTGGCTCAGGGTTGCCAGTGGAATTTAGGCCCATGAAACTTTCCCCAGCCACTCTGAAGTTTTTCTGCTTCTGAACTATCCATAGGTTGTAGCTCTGTTGTTTTGTTTGTTTGTTTTTAAGCATCCCAGTGAACCTGAAGCTAATATCCTGGAATCTCATTAGGCAATACCCAAAGACTGGGATAATTTGTCTGTGGGCAATTCCACAAGGAACATCGAGATATGCTGAAGAATTACAGGGTGAAAATGAACGGGAATGCACATTATTACATCTTAAGTTGGGACTCAGAACTTACAAATATTGAAAGAGACCGCAGAGAGATACAATGTTTGTGTTTAGCTCCAGTGTATGTCTGTGCACCACTTGTGTACCTGATTGATGTCTGTGAAGGCCACGAGAGGGCATCAGATCCCCTGGAACTAGAGTCACAGACGGTTGTGAGTTGCCATGTGTGTGCCAAGAACTGAACCCAGGTCCTCTGGAAGAGCAACAGTGCTCTTAACCACGGAGAAGTCTCTCCAGCCCCCATATCAGGGAATTTTAGTCTTCTTTCTCCTGATTGTTTGTGGTCACCTTTGTGACAGGTATTCCTTCCTCCAAGTATAAAGAAGTTTTAATCCCATGATGACTGTCTTGGTTAGGGTTTCCATTGCTATGAAGAGACAGTATGATCATGGCCACTCTTATGAAGAAAACATTTAACTGAGGTGGCTCACTTACAATTCCAGGACTTTGGTCCATTATATCATGACAGGGAGCCTGGCAGCATACAGGCAGACATGGTGCTGGTTACATCTTGACCAGAGGACAGCAGGAAGTGGACTGGAACACTCAGGGGTATTCTGAGCATCAAAACCCGGCCCCACGGTGACACACTTCCTCCAACAAGGCCATACCTCCTCCCAGAAAGCTACACCTCATAGTGCCACTCCCTGTGAGATTATGGGGGCCAATTGCATTCAAAAGACCACAATGATACAACTAAAAACCTTCTAGTCTGTTTTCAGTATGGTTTTTAAACAGCTTGGATTTTCTTACTTGGCCTCTTAAATCTGGCAAAACTAATTCTAGCAATAGTCACAACCATCAATATTTTGTTGTAAATGCACTTGTAGCAGATGAAGAAATGAGCTACATGACATTTCTTTTTGGCATTTACATATATGTAAAGTGTACATGCATGTGTGCGTGCTCACATGTGCGGGTCCAAGGTTGATATGTTTTCCTCAGTTGCTCTCCGTCTCACTTACTGAAGCAAAGTCTCTTACAGAACTCAGAGCTCATTGTTCAAGCTAATCCGGCTAGCCAGTTTGCTCTAGGGACCCACTGTCTCTGCCTCCCGCATGCTGATGTTATATAGATAGGTAGGTCACTGTACCCAAATGCATTTACATGGGTTCTAGCTACCTCAGCCTTTACACTTTCACGCCGAGGGCTTTACCCACTGGGTCATTCCCCTCTCCATCTTCTATGTGACTTTTCAGCGTCCCTACTATGCCTAAAATTCTTGGACTATCCAGAAGGCACATTTTAGTGTTTGACAGACCCCTCTGTCACCCAAAACTAAAAAAAGAAGGCTCCCTAACTATGCCACAGAAATAGCCAGGGCTCAGGTACAAAAGTGTGAATCCACTCAAACTACATAGTTTAAAGCTGATGCCAGTAGCCAATCAAGGGCACAGAACATGCCACCTAAGTGTGTGTGTGTGTGTGTGTGTACATGTGTATATATGTACAGGTGGAGGTCTAAAGACAACCTCAGCAGCAGCCGTTCCTTCAAACACCATCTACCCTCTTGTTTGCTATTGCTGATTTGGTTTGGTTTGATTTTTTGAGGCAACGTCTCTAGCTGGGCTGGAACCCACTAAAAGGCTAATCTGGCTTGCGGCTAATGAGTCCCAGAGATCCATCTGTTTCTACCTCCCCAGAGATGGGATTGCAAGTGCATGTTACCACACCTAAATATTTGTCACGTGGGCTCTGAGGCTCAGGCTCCAGTCTTCAGGTCTTCAGGACTGAACATCAAACACTTTACTCACAGATATTTCTCCAGCCCTAAAACCCTGGTCTAAAAAAAAAAAAAACAACAACAACTTGTGGATGCTGTGGAGAAGCTGTACTGTTATATTTTTGTTGGTAGAAAGGTAAAACTATATAGTTACCCTGAAAATAATGTAATAATTACTTATAAGGCATATAAACTATATATATTAGAATATTAAAAGAAAAATAAAGGTCCCCAAATAACTTAATAATATGGCATGTTAAGCCATTAAACAACCCATGACCTTAAAATTAACACTGAATTAATCTATGGCTTAACAGTTGTATTCTTGATCGAATAAAATGAACCTTGTCCCGCGCTCGGCCTCGCCTGCAAGAACCATGCGGGACATAGGATTCTTCTGCAGAAAAGCTTTATGTCTCTTGGGAGCTAGAGCATAAGCCACATGGCGAAGACCCAGATATGATGGAACCTATCCCTTATATAGGAAACAGACCCTGCTTCCGACGTGTCACTCTTGGATTGGTCAACTACTCCCAGTCCCAGGTGAATGCCTCGGGAGTAGGCGGGGACAGCAGTGGTGGAAAGTTACCGAGCACATGTGCGTTCACCTGGTGGTGAAGCCGGATGTCAGCGCCATCTTGATGATGGAGAATGTGGCTGCGGCCTTCTACATCTCCCCCTAATTTTACTTCTTTGCAGAAAGGCAACTCCCTCAGAAGGTAAAGATAGAGGTCGCACTTCCCAAAATAGAAACATTAAAATGGGCTTACATGGAATCTGCCCCTAGGCTCATGACATCTGGAACTTATCCGGCCTGCCCTCTGCCATTTTTCTGGGAAAGGGAAATATACGGCAGGAAACCCTTATGTAGGGCAACTTATCTCTCAGAGAGGGCCATTCTCTGTGCGATGCTCTTCAGCTCGACAACCTTCAGGGCTAGCTAAGCCAAGCATTCCACCCTGTGCCATGGACCACTGTCCTAGGGGTGCAGGAGCTGGTTGGCATAAACCTTACTGCTTTAACATAGATAACCACATATCAGAAGAGGCTCCCTGTTCTAGGGCAGCCAGCGCTGTGCAAAAACCACTTTGTCCCTAAGACTTTGGGATTTGAGTCAGCAGACCATCCAGAGGAGAAACACTATTCCATAGCGTAGGACCGTTCCAAAACATTTCCACCCCCACCCATTCTTTGAAGTAGGGGATGAAGGACACAACCCAGGACTGGAATCCTTTGGCCAGGCTTATGTCCACTCGCGTGGAGTTGATTGTCACGATGGACCATCTCAAGGAGGATAGCAAATCATCAAAATTCTCCTGCAAGGTACAAAGACAATTCTCGGGACAAGTTAGCCACTTTTATAAAGTTCTCATATGGTACATTGGTCACACATAAGGCTGGAGTTTTCCATTCATAGCCCAGTTGGGCAAGCTGCCATAAGATATCCACCTGTTCTTGTACTAGGTCAATTATTTGATTAAGAACCATTATTTTACCTCTAATAGATGTATCTATGGTAGTCTGCTGATCCAGGGCTGTAGCCACTGTGGTAGATAACTGATTGAGGGTCTCTGTTTTCCATGGTATAGGCCGTGCTGCCATTTAAAAAATGTATAATGAACAGAGCATTGGGGGCAGTTCTTTTATTATTTCCCCCTTTTTTATTTAAATAGATATTTATCCAGTTTTTAATTTGAATAACCATGGCATTTTGTAACCTGTCTTGAAGATACCCATAGTGTTTAGCAGAAATAACTGACAGGACAAGGGAAACTGATAGCAAGCAATAACTGACAAATCAAGAGGAAATTCAGCAGCACAGCAATGTACAGCAACAACAGCACAGCAATAACTGACAGACCAAGGGCGGGAGCTGGACCATCCCTCAGGAACCCGCCAGCTCCGCAGCAATTAGGCCAGACGGCTCCATAGTAGAGGCTTTGTCCTCAGGCCTCTGGACAGATGAATCCACAGCATGAATAGTACCCAGATGTATGTCAGCATTTTAGAAAAAAAAATCTCCCAAAATAACATTTAAGAGTATTAAAAAACTCAGTGTAAAAATTTAGCGCAGTCAGTACTGGAAGTAGGCTGGTCTTGAACTTAGAGACCTATAGGTTTCTGTTTTAAAGAGCAATCTTGTTTGCCTGTGCCATTACAGCAGGCCTTAGAATTAAACCGTTTTAAATCTGGCACAGATGAGATTATTGTTTTAAAAATATGAGAAAACCGTTTTTTTGTTCCCAACCTGGAGTCCTAAGATGACGCAGTCACTGGGAATCGAACTTGCAACCTCTGGAAGGACAGGCAGTGCTCTTAACCTCTGAGCTATCTCTCCAGGCCCTCTCTATTTAGAAGAAAAAAAAAACCTCTAGGTTTAGCATTGTTTTTCCCACCCATTGCCTCAGGCAATAGGTCCGCCTTTGTTACCTAGGATACCGGTAACCAGGTTTATTATGATAATTACGACCAGCCCTGCCTGAAGTCAGCATAGATTAGCATAGCCAGGTGGAACCAGAGCCATTTTAGTCTCAGAGACCCTCACAGTTTTAGGTACATAGCAAGCCTTCTGGCCCGGCTGCCTGTGGCACCGCTCTCACTCCGGGCACCGCCGTGACACCCTCCAGGCCAGGCACCAACCAAGCCGGCGCAACGTGCCCCCCACCACAGCCACCGAGCAAAGCTCCACTCCAGCTGCCCTCCAGCCCCAGCTGCACCCACTCCGAGCCCAAACCGGTGTATGGAGCAAAGCGGAACTCAGAGAAGCAGGCTTGCTGCTCTGCAACCATTGAAAGGACCTCATTTAATCTTTTAGGGAATTTGGGCGCCGTTAATCTCTCTGGGTACTTCCTGCTGTGTTGGGCCGGTGCATTTTAGGGGTATACATTACAACATTTCAAGAGGTCTCGGTGATTCAAACCACGTGGATCTCAAGCACATACTTAGGCTCCCATCCTCCGTGGAGGCGAAAACAGAACCTCTCCTCCAAAACATCATATTCTTAAGCCCATGTTTTAAACTACCTTTTTTAGCAGTTCCTAAATTCAAATATCTTTCTCCTGTCCAGTACATAAAAAACAACATGAACAACATAACATAAAGCTTTTGACCTTGTAAATCAGCCTTCTCCCCCATTTTTACTTTCTTAGAATCATTGGGGGGTCCTTTTTAACTTATCTGAGTGCGCGCGTACAACCTCCCACTGCTGCTCAGTTTCTGACATGCTCTCTGGACTTTAGAGCGTACCTCTCTGAGCATGCATGCCTGCAGTTCTGAATCCTTCCTGGTCTCCGGCGGTGTAAAGTTCTTCTTCTTCCCGGGTTTCGGCACCAGATGTCCCGCGCTCGGCCTCGCCTGCAAGAACCATGCGGGACATAGGATTCTTCTGCAGAAAAGCTTTATGTCTCTTGGGAGCTAGAGCATAAGCCACATGGCGAAGACCCAGATATGATGGAACCCATCCCTTATATAGAAAACAGACCCTGCTTCTGACGTGTCACTCTTGTATTGGTCAACTGCTCCCAGTCCCAGGTGAATGCCTCGGGAGTAGGCGGGGACAGCAGTGATGGAAAGTTACCGAGCACATGTGCGTTCACCTGGTGGTGAAGCCGGATGTCAGCGCCATCTTGATGATGGAGAATGTGGCTGCGGCCTTCTACAGAACCTACTCATGAAAATTCATAGCGCATACCTTTAATAGTTAAAAGTTAAAAGAAAAGCTCAGATCTTTCAATAGACAGCAACTATACAAGAATTGAAAGGAATTATGCAAATTTCATTCATTATATATGCAGATATGCAAATTTCATTCATTGTATGTGCAGATATGCAAATTTCATTCATTGTATATGCAGATAAAAGAGAGCAGAAGGATGCCTGTCAAAAAAGGGGGAATTTTTTTTTTCGTGAATAAGTGACAATTGGAGGGAAATGGGAATGGAAGAACTTTGTGTTTGCTGTACCATAACTCTCAGCCTATCATAAGGGAGCATATCTGTGTATTTTGTGTGAGTTTGTTAAACTTCTTGTCTGTGAGGGATTGGAAGGAAGGCACTATCTAGTCACGGTGTCTGTCAGAGATCAAAGCAGGAAACAGAAATGAAGTTAAACACAGATTTTAATACCAGGAATTAAATGCTTTTAAGCCACTGGACAGCAGGTGAGAAGGCCAGGGATGGGACCAGATTCTGGCACAGGCTGACCTGGCCTAGGACTCCCTCTACTACCCTGCTGGCCTCAGGCTTCTGATTCTCCAGCCTCAGCCTCCCAAGCGCTGGGATCAGGGCTGTGCCTCCATAGCCAGTTCAGAACCATCATTTTAGTCTGAAAACTATTCTCAAAACCCACAGGTGTTTGTGTTCACTATACAATAATTTTCTCCCATATCACCATTTCAAGGGACCACAGGAGACAGGACCCCCACGTAGATGACAATCCACACACAGAATCAGAGGGCGGGCTGCCGGCAGCAGGCTTCTCACACATCCACCTAAGCCCTCCAATGCCTTGCAGCTTCCGGTTTCTCCCTGCCCGCGGATGGCTCCAATCTAGTATTGACTCTGGCTGGCCAAGCTTTGAACCCCTTGTGTGTCACCTTCCAGGAGTAGTCTCATTTGACAGAGGTGACCAGAACTGCTTGTGACATGATTTTTAAACAAACCAGGACACGATCAGGTACCCACACAGTGTGCACACAGCTGTCTGAACACAAATCTGTGCTGACATAAGTCACAAACATCCTTCATCTGCACCCCCTCAGTCTAGACCTTGCTGTCACCACTTCTATTAAAGACATTTCTAGAACAAAAATAGAAGCAGGAGATAGCCCCTTAGAACAAAATAGAAGCAGGAGATAGCCCCTTCCTCCTACCACCTTTCATGGCTTCCCATTGGCTAGCTAGAAGTCAGCCGGCAAGGGGGTCTGGAAAATCTCGTTTCGATATATGATAGATTGCAGAGAGTTTGGGTGGGTGGGAGAAAACTAGGCTGATGATAGTTATCAGGGAAGCCTTCTAGGCTATCAGCATCACACCTCCCAAGCCATGTCAAGACAAGAAGTTCAAAGCACCAAGCACATATCTGGGTCAGAGAACTGCATCCTTTGCTGGGATGCCAGAGCCATGGCAGAGTTTCTAACACTGCTCTAAGCCCATCCCCAACACTCCAGACAAAATCTGAAAACCATTACAGGTAATCCCTTGACACCTTCAGGGAAATACTGTTTGGCCTCCCCACCCCCGACAGGGCTGGTCCAGTCCCACTGGTCTTCCCCACCCCCAGCAGGGTTGGGCTGGCTCCACTGCACTCCACTCAATTGCTCTGGGTTTTGTCCTCAAACCTTGAACCGCCAATCTTCAGTTTTGTTCGTAGACCCTGCAATGTGTCCTTGATTGACCTTGAGGAGTTTCAGGTAACTCCTGTAACTGTAATGACCCTTCAGAATGATGCCTGGGTCTCTTTAACAACCAAGCCACACGTGTCTTCTTTTCAAAATGACATTTTGAGTACAAATGTTAATATTCACATTATTGTATTCTTTTGTCTTGAAGGCAATGTCTTTAAAATACCAAAACGTCATGTTTGCTAATGTGGATGTGGACTCATCAAAGGTAAGCCTCTTAAACCCTCTGCACGGAGCATCGAAACTTGAATGCAATGTCACTACACTGAGTCACTCTGCAAAAGTGATGACATCACCTGGCTAAACACAAGTGGAATTCCACATCTTTGCTTTTGTGATAAGTGTAGCAAACTGTTTTACACAATTTTCTTTAAATGTTAGCAAATGTATAGTGCACCCTGCTGCTGTGGCAGACGGCACGAGTCACTCCCAAGTCTTCACCACTCGCTCCTCAGCCTAATGCTCGAGGCCTGCGTTCTCAACCTGTGGGTCACGCCCCCTTTAGGGTTACATACTAGTTATTTACATTAAGATTCATAACAATTGCAGAATTATACTTTTGAAGTAGCAACTAAATAATTTTATGGGTGGAGTCACCACCACATGAGGAACTGTATTAGAAGGTTGCAGCATTAAGCCTGAGGCATTACAATGAATCTAGGCAGATATTACAATGAAGCCAAGGTAAAAAAAATATTTTCAAGTTGTGGTAAGTTATCAATAATTTTTTAAAACTTAGCTCAATAATTATAGACATTTTGACATATCTCATTTTTATATCCTGTATTTTTTGGGGGGTTGCTTATATGGCATAAAACTTCTACGAAATCCTTCCCTCTTATCCCTAGACCCAGCCTCCCTCTTCTCCTATGCCTCCCCCCAAAATAATCAGCCTCCTAGTTTCAAGCCAAATAAATCTTATTACAATATAAAATCTGCTGGGACTTATTCTTCTTAGGAGTTGTTAATTTACAATAAGGAAATGTGACTATATTAATTAGCTTTCTGTCACTATAGAAAAGTATCTAAGAGAAAGAGAAAGGTTTATTTTGTCTCACCATCTTGGAAACTCGAGTCCCTGATCAAAGCCTAGTTGCTTTTGGACCTGTGGAAGGCAGCACATTTGGACAGGAGTGCATGGCAGAGCAAAGTGACCCCTTCAGCAGCAGGAAGAAAAAGAGAAGGGGACAGCGTCCCACAATCCCCTTTGGGACTGAAAGGACTGAGGGCCTCTGGGTAGGCCCCACCTCTTAAAGGTACCACCACCTCCAATAGCTCCATGCTGGAGCCCAGGCTGCTGATCCAGGAGAGGCACTCAGCATTCACACTGTAGCAGAAAAGGTAACAAGCGACCTACCCAAGCACTGGATGGAAGCTGAACTTAAAAATGATCAGAAAACCAAACACTAGTTACCTTCTGTGCCATTGTCTGTCATAATTTGTCAACCTGACACTAACTCAGCACCCTGTGAAGATTTGGGCAATTGTGATAATTTTTGTATAAATTCTACTGCATAAATTTAGTGCGAGTTTTGATTTCTCTTGAGGCTGTATCTGCATGCGTAGTTCTTGCCACGACACTCTGATGGTGTATGGAGGCACTGGAAAACCATCTTGTAAAGAAACTACATCATTTTCCGTTCTCTCTGCTCCAGTAGACAGTCTTGATTTCCCCAAATCTTGCCAAAAGCTGAGTTGCTCTCAGCTTTTTGATTATAGTTTTTTTGTCTTCTTTTTTCTTTATTTTGTTATGTTTTTCGAGACAGGGTTTCTCTGCAACAGCCCTGGCTGTCCTGGAACTCTTGTAAACCAGGCTGGCTTTGAACTCACAGAGATCCGCCTGCCTCTGCCTCCCAAGTGCTGGAATTAAAGGCAGGCACCACTACTGCCCAGCTAGCTATTTGCCTTTTAAGGTGAAGCAAAAGACACACTTTTCTATTAATAACATAGATTAATAGTTGCCATAGCAACTTAGTGTGTGTGCAATGCTTCTTTGTGTTTATGTGTATTGTGGGTGGAAGAGTTCAAGTTGATCAAATAGCATATCAGTGAGAGAGTTCGATTCTTTTTGTCCATAGACAGCTAATTTTAGTCAACTTCTAAACAAGGGAAACAAACAAACAAGAAATACCACTTGGAAGCAGTCTGCTTTGGTCTAAAATCGAACCATTTCTCTTATCCTTGGGCTCCAACTGTTTGAGAAGTAAAGATAAGTAGTGAGGGAGAAAGGAAAACAAGACTTAAAGAAAAGGCTGTGCTGACCTTGAGTGTGTCACCCCTGTCTCCAGTGTGACCGATGAAGACAGGCCTTTTCCTTCCTCTTTCGGCGATATGGCATTTCCATACTAGGCTTCCTGGGGCTCCTCTGCCCACTCAGCATTGTTAAATGCAGTTCAGTTAGGAACTGTGCATCTGTTCCAATTGCCCTTCATCTCATTCCTCACCAGAGCTCTGGAATGAGAAACCCAAGAGCGCCAGAATGGTCCCCTTTCCACAGGGTTGTCCTGGAGGCCTTGAGGGTCTGTTGGGGAAATTCTGTAAAGTGTCAGGTGCTCTTAGGCTTTAAGACACTGTTTCTTAGAAGTCACTTGAAACAGAGAAAAGGAACCAAAACCGTGACTTTATAACACCCCTTTTTCTTCCCAGGAATTGACTCAACTTTGTCACATCAAAGCCGTACCCACATTTCAGATGTTCAAGTACACCAAAAAGGTATGTTTTCATGGAAACCAGCAGGGATGGATTATATGAAACTACCATTGGAGCTAAAATTAAAAACTCTGGTGTTCCTTGGTTAGATTAAAAAAATACTTGGATTTTTTGAAATATAATTTTTAAATTTCAAACACCACACCCAATGTTGAGGGATAAAGAAAATACATGACTTACAGTAAATCACTCCCTCTCTGAGGCATTCGAATCATAAAAACTCCACTATTTCCTCTACTCTGGGACAGAATTATCAAGAATCTACCTGATAAGGGCTTGATGAAATCCTCCCACAAGAGTCTATAGTCATTAACAGGATGTGTGGAAACATTCATCAAAAATCATTCCAAGGCAACACAGCCTCATGACTGGATATGCACTGCCTGGGTTCAATCCCCATGATCCAAAAACAAGTTCTCCCATTCTTAGCTATGAGGCCCTCGGTGGCTTACTTACCTTTTTGTGTCTTTGTTTCCCTATTTGTAACAGAGAGCATTATAAATATTCCCTCACTTATTGTGAACATGAAATATGTTATCATGCTGAAGTGTGAACTCCCCCCTGGTGGTAGTGGTTTAATGTGTCCTATTAGTTTCTTTCTTGTAGGCATTAATGGAATAAAATGGCTAAACTGTTAAGCACATGATAAAGCTAGTGTTCTAAGATATGACTGGGGGGATTGATGGGTACTCACATATGCTTCATGAACTATTATCATTTTGTAGCAAACTTAGGAGACACAAAATATACGTTGTCTTTCATACCAGTATCTTGCCCTTGGGAACATATGCTCTAAAAACATCTCAAGAAAAAAAAAACAGTAAATGAATATATAACAATTGTTGCATTATTTCTAACATTGACAATAGAAGCAATTACAATGCCTTTTTCAGCAGAATGTCTGAGTTATGAGCCGTCTATTCCAGGGAACAGTATGCAACTAAAATGTTAGGAAGAACTTTGTGACGTTTAAAAGACATGCTTGGGGTTTATAAAGATTATATCTAAATTGGGGGCGACAAAAGCATTTCTTTGATCTACCAGCTATACAATTTTCATTTCTGTTTCTGTCTGTTGGCATTTGATTAGTGTAACTGGTGCAATAAATTTAAGATAGTTTTCAAGCACTACATATTTCTTTCCATAACTTTTGGTTGAAAATAAAACTATTTAGCATGTGTTTCCTTAACTTGCCCCCCACTACAGGTTTAATCGCCTGTCTATGTCGTCTTTGCTACCACGTCAAGCATGAGAACATGTTCTTGCAAAATCAGTCCCATCCCTACAGACTACCTACACCCCTCCATCTGTTACTTTCTCCAGGGTTGGTGTTTTTCCAGCCAGCATCCATACTGCCTAGTCTATCAGGAGCCCTATTTCCTGTCTTTAGTCTCAAAGCTCCATCTCTAGGTTCCAACCAATCAATTAACTCTATACCCATCAGGTATGAACCCTTTCATTTAACCAAGCCAAATTCATATCACACCAAAACTAATGCCAGCATTTGGTTGGAGGCGCTAAGTCAAAGTATTTGCTTTTGCTGCTACTGGGTTTACATTGGAGAAGTACAGGACAGTAGCTACGGCAAAGCTCCTCGCTACATGGGACCTGATAATGAAGCCACCATGCAGAGGGAAGCAGAATCCAGCAGAGATACTAGCGCTTTAAATTCTGAGTTTATTGAGGTGTAAGGAGGACTCAGCAGCGGCAAACACTTGCCGCTCTTGCACAGGACCAGATTTAGTTCCCAGCACCCACATGATGGCTCATAGTCATCTACAACTCCAGTCAGTCCTAGGGAGTCTGACACCCTCTTCTGGCCTTCCCAGGCACCAAGCATGCACATGGTGCACAAACATACATGTAGGCAAACACTCATGCATGTAAAAAATAAAAAATAAAAATAAATGGACCCATTCTGAATTTATCCACAACTTAAGCCTAAATCATTCCCATAGAGTCTTCTTCATGTTTATAAACTGGGTGTATTTTAACATCAATCACAACCGTGGAAAAGATCTAGTAAATGTAAGCAGAGGAAGATAAAGGGGTTGAGATCCTCTGACTCCCCTCCAGAGTATGCCTCCAACGCCCTGAAGACCTTCTGCTAGACCCAGCCTCCTCCCAGCAGCGTCCTGGAGAGCAAGAGTTACCATCTGGGCTTCTTGTGGACCCTTGACAACTGAAAATAGCACAAAAAGACTCCAATTTAAATGTCCTGATAGGCAGCTATCAGAAATTAAATTAACTAAATTGATGGTATTACCAGTAGCTACTGTATCTCCCTAGCTTCTAATCCCAGGGTCACCCAATAAGCCTCTGATTATAACATACACAGAAATGTTTCAAAAAGTTTCCTTAGGAATTGAAGCTTTCATTGAATACTATTAGCATAGCAGCCTGATTATGAAGGTTAAAAACTAAACAGTTGGGATGGAGAGATGGCTCGGCTCCTAAGAGCCTCAGTTCCTAGCACTCAGGTCCTGTGGCTCACAACCACCTCCAACTCCATCTCCAAGGAACTCAATGCCCGCTTCTGGCCTCTGTGGACACCAGCATGTATGTGCAAATATACACAGAGAGACACACAAATAAAAATAAAAATAAAGTCTCTTTTTAAAAAACATGCATCTATTTCTACTCATATGAAACCTGCTCAAAAAAAAAAATAGCAACAAAACCAAAACAAAACAACTTTCGACACCAAAGGCAAGAGCCAAGAAAAAGATGACAAGATTCTTAGGATGTTAACACTCTTAAAAGTAAATCTTTTACTTCTTTTGACTCAGATGTCAAATGGACTCTGAGCAGGTCTTTAGTGCTCCATGGGGCCCCACTTTCCCCAATGCGTCAAAAGTTAGGGTTAAGCCGTGGCATCTGGATCCTTCTCCCCCAGTTCCTGTCTCACAGTGGTCTGCCGAGGGGAACCACTGAAAAGCAGGGTCTTAGGGTGGTCAAGGAAAGGATGCGATCATTTGATCATCTTTCTGTTAGGAGAACAGAGCAAGGAAGCTTTCATTGCCGTCCGATGTCTTCTAGAAAATAGAGAGAAATGGAATCCATGTCTTTGAAAGCAGCTCTAGGAATGGATTCCACGCCTTCATCTGGGACATGTAACTGGAAACTGACTTACTGAAGCAATTAAGTACCATGTATCCATTTTCTAAAACTAGAATTCAGTTTCTATTGAGAATTGTTTTAAGAAATGTCTTTATGATTCCAGGAAGACATCTGTGTGTTTCCAGTAAGACATCTGGCAAATAGCCACTGTGCACTGTGTCTCTTAAAGGTTCACAGTATTAAAAAAAAAAGTCATAAACCACATAGAACACAGGAGACTATCTTCTCCTTTGGGAACACAATGTATTTCCTTGTTTCAGATAGAATGAGCTAAGGTTCCCCTGTAGTGGGAGGCTGCTTGTTGGTTCCCGGCCATCTGGCTATCTTAGACCCAAAATAATCACACAGAAACTGTATTAATTAAATCACTGCTTGACCCATCAGCTCTAGATTCTTATTGGATAACTCTTACATATTAACTTAACCCATTTCTATTAATCTGTGTATCACCACCTGGCAGTAGCCTACCAGCAAAGTTTTGGCATGTCTGACTCTGGCAGTGGCTCCATGGCTTCTCCTTGACTCCGCCCTTCTTTCTCCCAGCATTCAGTTCTGTCTTCCCTGCCTACCTAAGCCCTGCCTTGCTATAGGTCCAAAGTAGCTTCTTTATTCATTAATGGTAATCACAGCGTACAGAGGGGACTACCACATCATTCCCCTTTTGTTCTAAAGATGTCAAGAAACTCAGGCTTGCTTCTGCTGCTCCAGTCCCGCGACCCCTTACCTGCTATGTCTCCAACCTTTCCCATAGATGATTCTTGTGCTGTGCCATCCCTAGGCTTTTGCTCTATTCTTGGGCCATCATTCTTGCCCATGTCGTTCCTAGTGTATATACTTCATAAGTAAAGTAGAATTTTTTAAAAAATGAAAATGCATAAAGCCATATACAGTGACCTGGGGCTGTGGTACTTAGTGATCCTTCCCTGGCTGCTGGAAGTTTTCATGAAAGAAGTTGCTTGGCAGGGATGTGATATAAAGAATGGTTGTCGTGGGCAGGGGGATGGCTCCATCAGCAAACTTGCCACAGAAGCACATAGACCTAAGTTTGAACCCCAAAACTCACATGTGAAAAGTCAGGTATGATAGTGTGCATTTAAAATCCTAGTGCTGGGGAGACAGAGGCAGGAGGATGCCTGAGAACTGCTGTCAGTCTGGACAGCCTAACTGGTGGGTTCCATACCATGTGAGAGATGCTGTCTCAGAAAATGAGGTGGATAGTGTATGAGGAGTGACCTGAGGTTGACCTCTCACCTCTACATACACCGTGCAAATGTGCATGTGTGCATGCACACACACACACACATACACACACAGAACAACTTCCATTTTCCAGTAATCAATCAAGTTTCTGTTCCTTTCTGCTGTATTCCTCCGTGTTTTCATCTAAGCCATCCTATCATGCTCCAGGAAGAGTCGCTGTGGTAAATAATGATTGTAGTATTCTGTTGCACATGATATACTTGTCCCCCTTTATCAAAACAGAATTCATTCCCAGACCACCAGTGGATACTGGAAACCACAGACACTCCTGAATGATCCTCTGTATAACATGGAGGGGTTGCCCTATTCATCCTTACTGTAGATCTTGGAAACATAAATAATTCTTTTCATTCCTTAGTAGGCAAAGAATGTTTTACATTTTCTTGTAAAATAAATATTTTATAGCTTCTCTTTGGCCACCAGTCATTACTCTTGGCAGTTTGGGGTTATTAGTAAGAAAAACCAGGGTTACGTGAATACAAGCACGTAGCTCTGATGATGAGAGGACTGAATTCCTAACGGACAGGTAGAAGGAACTATCACTCCTCAAGCATCCAAGTTCATCATGTTTCTCAGTAATTTCAGGCTTTTTTTGCTTACTTCAGGAATTTTCCGTGTAATAT